GACGAAAGAATTGTGGCTCGAGGAATAGCAAAGGTAAGACGTACAGTGCGCGAACTGAGTGCCGGTTGTCTCCGTTTAACATCGCAGTGCTGACGATGAGAAGACTGAGTGACTGCATGCTTTCGAAACGTAAGATTCTTTACCTGCAGGGGGAAGCCGGCTTAGGAAATAAATATAGTTCGCGGAAAGCTCGTGTTACGTTTTTATTTCCCGCTCCTCTCGCTCCGTACAATAGACTTAAAGTTCTCGTTAAGCCTTATTGAGCTCGATTCGCTCGATTCGTAGCCGCCATAATGAGATGCAGGTGACGGAGGAACTTTTGCTCCCCTGCTTTAGGGACGAAAGTTTCTCCCTTTCTGAAGGAACATATGTGTCAAGAGCGTTCCTCCATTTAGGGAGGACTATACTGACCTCTTTGTCTTAGAGTGTATGTTCACCGTCACAACGCGACTAGATTCTTCTTGTTTTGCTGCTTCAATAATAAAATACCGTCAGTAGCGGCGGCAGGTTACGCATCAGAACGCTAATCTACGTGCTCTAGACCTTTGAAAAAATCGCTTTCTGCGCGCTTCCATTTTCGTATGTTGGGCTGTGGAACGCCTTCTGAGCATGCGCTGTTGCTTTGTTGTGCGGTATACCAGACGCTGCGCAAGCGTTCACAGCTCAGTGGCTCAGCATTCTTGCCGGGGTGATAAGCGATGGAAAGGTCTATACTCCTTAAAGACACAAGCCAGCAGATGACAAGGGATGACGACAGACTGATCTCCTAGACTGCCCAACGTTTTTCGCCAAGTCATCGCACTACCAATCGTTTATCGTATTGGCATTCTGGACGAGATGTAAGGTTTAAGCAGCCTTAAGCTCATTTATTGCACAAATCAAACCTTCGAGTTTATCATCGACACTCTTCGGCTTTAGACAAGCCACTCACAGAAATACGCCTGTGTTTAAAAGCAGGATGTACAGAGGCGCGCACACCTGTTAACGGAAACAGCAGCTGTGTTTGGTACATACTGTGGTGGAATAAGCACATTGGCAGTCTCTAACTAAACGACAGTTAAGTACAAATCGGAGCACAGGAGGCATCGTGCAGACGCCCGCCGGAAAAACGTGGTACCGGACCTTGTATACGGCTTCAACAAAGTGAGGGGCAAACATTATTGAGGTGAGGGGACAACGTAATTTTAAGTAAGAATATTACTTTTCCATCTTAGAACTCATTTTTGTGGCAATCCAAAGCCTGGAAAGTAGTGCCGTCGCATTTATATCGCATTATAACGGACATGAGCAGCAAGTCCGCACCCTAACCTGTTGCAGGGTTGCCGCCGTACATGTACACCCTTAATCACACTTAGCTACACCAGGCAGTCCGGGGTTTCCCTGTCCTCCCAGCACCCAGATTCAAAGTACACTCCAACACATTGCGCAATTTGGAAGAACAAGCTCATGCACTGCACCCTGCATGTGGCGTATTTGTAAGCGCACCTGCTATGTCGGCGATGAGAGAACGGAAAAATTACAGGCTGGTTGTTGTAGCTAAATCTGATTATACCTGTACACTCAGCCTACGGTGAATCCGATAAGCTATTCGAGTAGCGTTCAAAATGCGTCGTCACCTCGCTCGTCCTATCTGTGCATTTGCCGTCACCGGCTGTAAACCAAGCACCCGTGGATTATTGCGTCGGGACCTTGGAGTTTCTCCGTGTTCTGGTTTGTTCAGCCGTTTCCAGCAAACGCACAAAGACGGCCGTGACAATGCACTTTTGGTGTTGCTTGATCGGCTTATCGGATTGTATCGTCGCAGTGAAAGGAATAGGTGGGCTAGTTGGTACATACATGTTTAACTTGTGAAACGCCTAAAAACAAGGGTACGAGGAAGTCGAGATAGGACCAAGCGCTAACTCACAAATGAAGGTTTATTGAAACACACTTACAATTTGTACACAAATTTAGGCTCCCGGCACAAAAAGGAAAACTCTTTCTGAGGTTAAGTGCAATGACGGTGCACTCACGCAGCTATCCTCGCGCTTTACTCTAATGCAGTAGGCGTCAAACAAATCTCTCTCAGTTGTTTTGTTTTTCGTTTTCAACTATTTTTCTTTGTCAAGATTAGGCGCGGAGTGAATTGCTAGATTACCCGATGGGGAACTTTTAACAGGTAGGGCGTGCTCGCGTGCCCAATCGTTGATGCACCTCCCCGTTGTCCCTATATACGCTTTTCTGCAAGTCATAGATCATAGGCAAACAACTGACGTTGCGCATTCAATGTACTGCGTGGCGTGTTTCTTGGCGCAAGCCTCAGTTTTTATTTTTGTTTATTGTTGTTAACTCTTGAGCAGAGACTGTACAACATTAACGGCGCAGAGAACACCACGGGCACAACAAAGTGTGCGGCGACACTTCCTAGGCCATGGGACAGCCCGTGTACGTAGGGGATTACCACCGCTTCTGTCTATTTTTTTCTCTGGTCGGCCGTTTTCGGTCGGTTTCTTTTTCTAACCTTTGAAACCAGGGTTTCTGCAACTTCTTTCAAAAAAACGCTCTGTATAGCCCGTCGTTTTAAGGCGTCGCACCCGATCAAAAAAGCTTTCGCCCATGTTACGCCTACACGACTTGTCTAGGGAGGCTCTCATCAACGTCGACACAATTCTTCATTGCACTAATTTGGAGAGGGCAGACGAAAAAGGCAAAACTCCTTCCAGCATAGTTACAGAACCCCTGGTTTCAAGGCTAAAAAAAGAAACGGAGGTGAAGCGACCGACCAGAGAACAAAGTCAAGACCGGTGGTAATCCCCTACGTCCACGGGCTGTCCCACGGCTCGCCGCGCACTCTGAGGTGCCCGTGGCGTTCTCTGCGCCGTCAATATTGTCCAGTCTCTGCTCAAGAGTTAACAACAAAAATGAAAAAGCTGAGGCTTCCGCCAAGAAACACGCCGCGCAGCAGATTGCATGCGCAACGTCAGTTGTTTACGAAATGCCCATGACTTCTGAAAAAACGTACACAGTGATGTGTCGTTAATATGGACACCTACGTTCCCGTAAAAAAGTCGTCCATAATGCGAGTTGTCCATATTAACCAAACAAAAATGCATGTATTTTCCTAGTTCCTCCCCAAAAGTGGTGTCTATATAGCAGGGTATCCATATTAAACGGGTTCATATTGACGAGACATGACCGTATAGGGCAACCGGGGAGGTGCATCAACGATAGGGCACGCAAGCACGCCCTATTTGTTAGAAATTCCACATCGGATAATCTAGCAATTCAATGTGATGCTGCCCGTGCCCGCCTAATCTTACCAAAACAAAAATAATTGAAAAAAGGAAAAAAACTGAGAGAGAATTGTTTGAAGCCTACTGCATTAGAGTAAAGGGCGAGGATAGGTGCGTGGGTGGACAGATAGTGCACTTAACTGAGAGGAGTTTTCTTTTTTGTCTCGGGAGCCCGAATTTGTGTACAAATAGTAAGTGCGTCTCAATAAACGTTCGGTTGCAAGTTAGCGCTTCGTCCTGCCTCGTCTTCCTCGTATCCTCGTTTTTTTGGCGCTTCACCCGTTAAAATTGTATCGTTTGCTGCGCACAAACTTCGAGTGCTTAGAGTGAAAAGGGGATTAAAAAAAACGCCACTAAAATACGTTTATTTATTTATCTATTATTATTTTTTTGAAGAAAAGCGATTGCGAAAAGGTAAACTGGGCCCGATTGCTCGAAGCCCGTTCACATTAACCGCGGTAAAAAGTTAACCAGATTTTCTTACGAGGGGAATTTTAAGTCACGTGACTGGTAGAGCAAGGACGTAGGGGAAACATGGCGGTGCCCCTGCGAGCGAGCGTCGCCACTTTGGAACTAATATGGCGTTGTAGCTGCAACAAGGGGCGCGTTAGTCAGCAGCGAATGGTGCAGGAGACTTTCGCTTTGCTTTCCCTCAATTAAACAGCAAAGCATGAGCAATGACCTTCCCGCATTTTTTAGATAGTATTTCGGTTCTGGCCATTCCTAAGCCTAAATGAACGCGGTGATTGTCGGATGGCAACGTATTTGAAATGCCATAGTGGATTGCCTTGACTCAATCGACCGAGTATTAGCGGCGAGATGTTACGGTGGCGTCCTCGCATGTTTCCCTTTCGTGACGTCATGACCTGGCGAACAACCAAATCGACGGTGTTTTTAATGAGCATGTTGGAAGCCTGAAATCATAGCGCTCTGAAACCAACATTGCCAACACCGTCACAATTGAAGTTCATACATTCCTCTTAATTCCGTCAATGATTAACCCTTTGCTGACGTCATAGCCAGCATTCGGTGAATCGTGGCAGGCCGACCACAGCGACACTGTCGATCGCGCACGTCGCCAATAGACCATTTACTGTATTACCCAAGCATCAAGGAGAATGAAGGAATTGGTGTTCCACGCGCCACACACGCACGCCTTCCCTGTATAAAAGATTCGAAGTAAATAACCAAAATAAAGCGTTGACGAACGCGCGTGTAAGATGCAATTTGTTTTAGGCATCTGCTTTGGAAAGTTTCTACTGCTGAGGCCAGCACGTGCGGCGCGTGGAACACCGATTCCTGCGTTCTCCTTGATGCTTGGGTAATAGCGCAATAGGTGTATTGATAGCACGCAGAAGCAGACAGCGTCCCAATACACCTTTTGCTAAATTTCCTAAGCACCAAGGCGCATGATACGAATGTAGAACTATGCTGAAGGGCATGCTTCCAGAACGCCATTCAAGCAGCCTGCCCGTCAGCATAGTTCTTCACAACGGATATGCTATGAGACATCGCCGCCACCTCCACGGAGGTCATCATCCCAGAGGGTTGCGAGACAACGTCCTGCCTCGAGAGACGCGTGTGCGACCTGCGGGGGAAGCGGCCGAGATCCGTTCTCCAGCCATCAGCAACCACGATCTGGACCGTCGTCGGACCGCCGTCAGGACCCCGCGGCACAGTCAATTCGCTCAAGGCCAGGCTGGCAAGGGCGGCAGCATTCAAGGCGACATGACAATTTTCGCCACACACGTACTTGTGCCAACTGCGGACATGGTCCTCATCGATGCCAGAGCTACGACACCTGCTCCGCAAGAAACCTTTATTGCTACAACTGTGGTCGCAGGGGTCACCTTGGCCGCGTATGCAGAAGCATACGTCGGGACTACCAGCGATCGCGATACAAGCAAGTGGAGCAGGTGCTCTCAGATTATGATGACTACGACGACGACGATGATTCTGAGATCGTATGCCACATAACAGAATCATCAACTAAAAAAGTATTGATTACCGCCAAAGTCTTTGGAACGCCGATACAGTTCCTGCTCGACACCGGGTCATCCGTCTCAATAATGGACAAAGCCACGTTCATGCAATGGTTTGCGCGAGATGCCCTCGTCATACCACCACCGGTGACGCTACTGAATTATTCGCGCCAGCCCATTAATATCATGGGAGCCTTCAAGGCAATGGTGGTATTCAAGCAGCGTCGCTCGCAAGTACTATTCTACATTGCAGACCAAGGCACATCATTGTTAGGCATGGACGCCGTCGTGGCACTCGACATCAAAATGAGCGGAGCAACGCGGACTTGTTTCTATACTGCGACCAGTGACACCGGTGAGGCTTCTACAAGTGCGGCAGAACAACCATCAACGTCGTCACAATTACCTACATTGTCAGCCAAGTCGACGGTAGCAAATTCAGCCGCGACCTCTCAGCTGCACGACTCGTCAGCTGCACTGGAGGAACAGTGGACTGAACGTCTTCTGCCACCAGCAAAGGCAAGTCGGACTCTACCAACTGCCTTAGCGAAGCCTGTGTCTTCCATTCCTAGACTTCCATCATCTCTGACACACTTCGATCATCTTTTCACTCCAGGACTAGGCCGAGTCAAGGGAGTCACCTGTAAGATAAAGGTCCGTTCCTCTGTCACTCCTGTTAAACATCGTATGAGACGTATTCCTCAAGCTGCTCGACAACAAGTTTCTGACGAGATTAAACGTCTTGAGGAAGCTGGAGTAATCGAACGCATTAATGCCTCAGAATGGGTGTCACCGATAGTAGTCGTCCAGAAGAAGGACGGCAGTATCGGCATGTGTGTTGACCTTCGTGAAGCGAACAAAGCGGTCGTAATCGACAGCTACCCGGTTCCACACATTGAAGAGTTGCTCAACGCCCTACATGGAGCGCAGCGTTTTTCCAAATTAGATCTCGCTGCCGCATACCATCAAGTCCCATTACACCCGGATAGTCGGGATTTGACAGCGTTTATTACGTATGAAGGACTGTTTCGCTTTAAGCGAGTGTGTTTTGGATTAGCCTCAGCGCCAGCCACATTTCAGCAGATGATGGCGAAGATATTACAGGGCTGCAAAGGAGTGCTTTTCTACCTCGATGATGTGGTTGTCTACGGTAAGAACCAGCAGGAGCACCTGGAACGCCTGAAAGAAGTGCTCGTGCGCATATCTGAGGCTGGTATGAAACTCAACAACAAATGCGTGTTTGACGTAGGAGAAATTTCGTTCTTGGGGCACAAAGTTAGTGCTGCGGGGATTTCACCCCTTCAAAACAAAGTCGACGCTATTCGTGCGGCACCCATTCCCACGGACCTAAAGCAGTTGCGGTCATTCCTAGGAATGGTTGAATATTATTCACGCTTTATACCGCGCCTGGCTTCTGAAGTGGAACCGCTTCGAACGTACTTGAGGAAGGACACCCCGTTCATCTGGGACCAGGCAGCAGATCGAAGTTTCAATCGGGTGAAAACGCTGCTGTCCTCTGCAAGAACGTTAAAGATGTTTGACCCAGAGCTGCCTATCATCGTAGCTACGGATGCTTCAGCTTATGGAATTGGAGCAGTGTTGCAGCAGCTTCACGGACAAGACATTCACCCAATTGCTTTCGCATCACGAACGCTGACTGCCGCAGAAAGGAAGTACTCTTCGGGTGAACGAGAGGCCCTTGCGTGTCTGTGGGCCTGTGAAAAATGGCACACATATCTCTGGGGTCGCCAATTCACTCTGCGCACAGACCATCAAGCTCTCGTCGCTCTTTTGGCCACAAGAGGGACCGGACATCGCCCACTCCGGATCACTCGGTGGTCGACCCGGTTGCTGAACTATAACTTTCAAGTACAGTACCAGCGTGGCGCAGAGAATCAAGTAGCTGACGCTCTCTCCAGACTTCCGGTACCGGAAGATGAGGGAGGGACAGCATTTGACGAGCAGATTGTGTCTTTCACCGCTCTGAACGACGAATGCATATCAAAAGCTCAACTCCAACAGGAAACGGCGGATGACCCCCAGCTGACTGTAGTGATGTCTTATGTCATGTCGGAATGGCCACCATCTAGGGCGTTGTCTTCCGACGAAGCCATCTTCCACGCCACTAAAGAGACACTCTCTGTACACGACGGTCTGCTGCTGCGCGGGGAACAGTTCGTCGTTCCTACCAGTATGAGAAATGCTCTCATCGGCCGAGCACACGAGGGCCACCCTGGCATCGTCAGGACGCAGACTCGCCTTCGCGAACTATATTGGTGGCCCCGCATGAATGCGGAGGTGAAAATGGCAGTCCAAACCTGCGGTGTTTGTAGCTCGGCTGACAAGAGTGCAAAGACATCGCCAACACCTTTGCAACCCGTGCCCTTGCCAGAGCGACCATGGTCAAAGCTCGGCATCGACATCGTTGGCCCATTTGAAGCTTCGCCACCAGCGTATCGGTACTGCATCACGCTCGTGGATTATTTTTCAAAGTGGCCTGAAGTCCATTTTTGCTCCAACGTCACGACAAGCACGGTGACCGGTTTCCTGAAGCTCGTCTTTTCTCGGGAAGGATACCCCGACACCATTGTGTCTGACAATGGACCTCAATTTTCTTCTGCAGAATTCGAGAGCTTCCTGGCTAAGCGAGGTGTTAACCATCACCTGGTCTCTGTGTATTATCCACAAGCGAACGGGCAAGTAGAACGATTTAATCGTACCTTCAAGTCGTTCTTACAGTGTGCTGCACTAGAGAAGCGTCCAATCCACTCTGCCGTTCTGGATTACTTGTGCGTGTATCGTTGTACGCCGCACGCAACGACAGAACTGTCTCCTGCGGTTCTGCTACATGGACGCAAGCCACGCAACCGGCTTCACATCATTGGCCTTTCTCCATCGCAGTTCTTGAAGAACCCATTTGAGGAGCTGCAGCGTCTGCGGTGCCGAGTGCAGCGGGGACAAGAGCACAGCAAGCGCTACACAGACAGACGGCGAGCTGCCAAAGTTCCGACATTCCAGGTCGGCGGATGGGTGCGCGTCAGGAAGCCAGGAAAGGTAAAGAAGGGAGACCAAGCTTTTGGTCAGGCAATGAAAATTGTGGAGCGTGTCGGTCGATGGACCTTCAAGCTTCAGGACGGTCGGATCTGGAACGCCTCCAAGCTTACAGCGGCAACGGCTCCACCTGGCCCAGATAACGTTGAGAAGTCGTCGCAAGCAACGACACAGTCTTTTGAGCGCCTTCGTACACAGGGAATTCTCAGAAAGACCTCTAGAAGCCAGCGTCCTCATCATGAGTGGCGGCCAAACAGATTAAAGCAGGCTACTCAGTGGCAGCAGCAGCAGCTAAGGCCACATACGCCTCCGCCTTTTCCACCTCCACGGGGACAAGATGAGGATGGAGACGAAGCGTGCCCAGGTAGTCCAACCGGTCTTTTTGACTCTCGACAGGGTGCCGTGACGGTGCCACCAAGTACACACCAAAGAGTGAGGTTGCCACCGGAAATTCCCGTTCCCTCAGTGGATGCTACAATTCCCCCAGTGCCAGTTTCCGTTCCCCCAGTGGAGGAGCTTCGGCGATCGACCCGAACTCGCCGACCACCGGTTCGGTTTAGAGATCTGAGTCTCTGACCCGCGGTGACAGACGTGACAGTTGACTATATTTGTCTTGGGGCGAAGAGAAGTTTACATATTTCTTTAACGCTTATTATCCGAAGTGAAATTTATTGCTAGAATTCTGTAAATAACTTGCCGTAGTTTTGTAAATAAGTTGCTGGAATTCTGTAAATAACTTGCCGTAGTTTCGTAAATAACTTGCTGGAATTCTGTAAAAAGAAACTTTCTGACAGTGTTATTTGAGATATTGTGTACAAGAGTATGAGTGTTGAGTGCGAATGCTTTAAAAATAGCCTAGGCTAAGAGTCTGATAATGAATGCTTAACTTGAATTTCTTTTGAATTATGATTTGTGCATCTTTGCTTTGTATGTATAATATCTATGACTGGCTTTGTTATGTGCATTTTGTATAGTCGTTTTTCTCCAAAAAGGGGAGGGGGGAAAATGTTGTGTTCTGCTATTTCTCTTTCACTTCTTCTTCTATGTATTGCCCTACCTATCTCACTTTAAGAATCCTATCCTCTTTCTTCTCTTCTTTTCGATGACATAAAAGCAGTTCATCACGAGGCACCGGACGAGATGGTCGTTCTTTCATAGCGGTACGCTTGCTGCTGAATTCTACAGGTACACGCGCTGCACGTGCTGGCGTCTGCAGTAGTAACTGTTCTATAGTGTAGCAAAAGCCTAATACAAAGTTAGCTTTGCACGCGCGTTCCTCATAGCCTTATTATGTTTATTTACTTCGAATATTTTACACGGAGAAGGACAGCACGCGCAAAGCATAAAATTACACCAAATACTTTACTAGGGAGAATAAATTCCACTCCTCCCAAATACAATAGCCTCGACGCGGACACGTTTTCTGGGCTTGGCGAGAGCCATCTATCGTCGGGGAGGTTTCGGCTATCGATGGTATATATGTTCTACATACCAAATTCGTTGTTGTGGAAATGCGCAAGACACGTGCCGCGCGCCACTTCTAAGAATAATATGGCGTCTAAACTCTAGCTCAGTATACTGTAGCTCAGTGGTGCGCTAAATACTTTGCTACAGTGTACTAGAACACTTGGGTAGTGTTGGGACCGACGGGGCTCGCCTGAAGCGCGTGGTATTGATCGCGACAGGTGTCGCGTCCGGCGCCTTATCCGGAAGGTGTGCGCATGCGCGGCTGCACGCGCGAAAATATGAATCATTGGTGCCGCTTTAGTGATGGTGTGGGCCGCACCGGCTAGGCTTGACCTAGCTCTGCAGGCAAATAAAGACGTTTATTCCTCCTCCTCCCGAGTGCACATAGGATTTCTGATACAGCTACGACCTGCCAGCGGTCGTACCGCGGCATCAATTACGCTGCGGCACGATCGTTAGCAACATGATGCTTCAATGTATTGGACGGTACAAGCTACATTATTCTTCCTTTACATAAAAACTATTGCGACTTTAAAGAAGCGGTTTCGGTTTGTCGGATGGTGAGCATTTTAAATGAAATTCCCCTTTCCTTGGTCGCAAATGCCGAACATTAGATATTTAAAAGGGATATCTAAAACTCGGAAGCAGTCTTTTTTTCCTATCTTATTTTATAACAGAACGAAACGGCACATACTAAAGTTCGATATTGTTTTAGTATGTTTTTAATACCCTAGGTTAACTTCTCTGTCTTCTTTTCTGCCCATCTTCTTTTTCTTGTCCTTGATCAGCTCGCTTCACTTGTCACTCATTCTTGTGTCCATTTATGCGACGAACCACCCAAGCGACGGTCGCAAAGGGGTGAGAATCTTCTATTTCTTCGTGGCTGCCACGACCATCCGAGAATCACCCGACGTTCACTTGTAAGAAATGGCTTATAAGCCGTGACAATTTTTATCACGCGTTCTAACTTAAGTCCAAAAACTGAGACAATGTGGGCTGAACAAGTAATGCTTTATAAGATTCAAAGAAAAGAAGAAACTATTTCACATCATTTTGAGCACAAAACATGAGCACACGTAGATCAGGCAAGGAAAAAGTTGTAATAGTTTACAGCACGGCATTGAAATAATGGCAACAATGTGCAGCGCATACATGGTTAAAATATGCAGCGTATTATCCTCTTGAGGGTAAACCATCTGAAACCTACACGCTCACAACAATACATTTAACCGACAGCTGCTTTCTGACGACCAGGGAAGTCTCGCCTGAGCTGAGTATTCGAAGGGAAACACCCATGGTTCCACAGGGGGCGTATCTGGTTCACGCAGACATTCAGGGCGTTTTTGTTTTATTCTTTACAGAACTTTACATCTTTTACAAAAAAAGGATGTGGCAGATATGTGGATGCCGTCTTTCGTTATATCTGTAGCTCGGTGGACAATGAATGGGTGAATAACCGTTGCAATGTTTAATAATGAACCAAGATTTGTCAGTTAACTTGTTTATTAACGGCTTAATTGGCCATGGTGCAATTGCAGTTTTAAAAAGAGTCATTATTAAAGGCAAACACAATTTCGACAATTCGCGAAAAGGCAACGAGGTTCGCAAAATTAATCGCAAAAGTTTGCCTTTCTTCGCTTGATTCAGAAACCGCGTTATGAAAATAATACGTAGAATAGTAACTTACTCGTCTTGATGTGTGGCGCCGGCGAGTCCACCGAAGAAACGCTGTCGAGTTAGTGACGAGGAAACAGAAACAACTCCGTCATTCTTCTACGCATCAATATCAGCACAACCTCATTCGCGCTTTCAGCGCGCAGTTTTTTTTAATTAAGTGAAAAAAGGCAAACTTTTAGCGATGAATATCTCAGGACAGAACGAGCGGGTTGGTAGAGATAATTAAGCTTGAGGAAGAAACGAAAATAGACGGACAAACGCAGCAAAAACGAACACCTTGTTACTTTCGCTCAAAGATCGTTGTTTGTTCGCGAACTTTTTAAATTAGGTTGGCCTTTAATGTTGGCTTCCTTTAAAGCTGCAATTGCAACATGGCCCATCAAACATTTCATTAACCCTTTGCCTACCGCAAAAATTAAAAAAAAAAAAGATTTGAAAATACCGATTTTTTTTACGTGCCCTATACTCTGTTTCACCTTGTGTTGTACCGCAGGAAAGGCTACAAGCGCGAGCTCTTTGCTCTAGGGCACATCTCGGCGGCACGAGCTCCCGTGCACCAAGGGCAGCTGCCAACGCTATGAGCTCGCGCTGCTAGCTTTCGATACATGCACCGGTCAAAGAGAAAAAAGAAAAAAAGAAAAAAATAGGCGGGCTGCGCGAGCCGGATAACTCGACTACAGCGCCGCCTCGAACTGTCAATACACGCGCCCTCACGAGCTCCCGTTGCTGAGCCGCTCCGGTCCCAACACTACCCAAGTATTCTAGTACACTGTAACTTTGCTGCGCTGAGCCGCCATGATCTTCCCAAGAATTGCACGTTGCACGTGCCTCGTGCATCGGCGCACCTTGCGCTATTTTTGAAACATGAAGTGGCTTTAGGTGGAATTGGAGACGACACCGCCGCTGCCGCCGTGAAAATCCACGTGCCCTTGCGCGTGGACTGGCGCGGACCTCCACTCCGTCAGGGCTGGATTCGGCGCTGTAGGCGTTCTGTCTAATGCAAATGAGCAGAGTGGAATGTATTCCCCCTAGTAAAGTATTTGATTACACTTTCTGCGTTCTCCACGATGCTTGGATAATTTAACAATAGATGTATTTTAACTGGAGCCGAATTGCACGGTTTTCAATTTATGATGGTGTTATATACAGTTCTTACATGCTGACCAACCACGCTGCCGGTGCACCGCCCGCCTTTCAGAGCTCACTTCTACCTCATCGTTTCTAGGACTGAACATCATCGTCCTCTTTTGAACTTGGAAAGGAATTTCAACGAGGCTTGCCTTCGCCTCAGACAGTCAAACATTTAGACATTTCCCAGATATGGGTTAATTTAGTTTTATTTTATCCAATATCTATACCACGAGCAAGAAAACGTGTTCCTTGGCCTCAAATGTATGCCGCGCTGCGTCGCGAAAACCCGGTAGCCGCTTTCTTGAGTGTCCCCTATCGGGAACTTTTCCTCGAAAGCCACTCATATTCGCTACAACCAGTAGGTGATACCGGCTACCATTCCCTAATAAAATGCAGCTGTCGCTCATCCAGCCCTCGCCAAACACGACTAGGTACTTGTAGGTACCTAAAAAAAAAAAAAGCGGTTAATTTTTTTTTTTTTTTTTTGCCGCAGTCAAAGTTAACCGTCTTCGAGCAAACGGGCCCTTGAGATTTGAGATCTCAATATTGCAACCCATTCGGGCTTTTCTTTTGTTGTTTGTCACCATTTAATAATACTGTTTTCATTTTTCAGTAGGGCAAAAAGTGGCGAGTTTCTTTACCATGAGCATTTCCAAGAAGGGTCCTGCGACCACTCTCATCGACGGCGAGGTGTGTTCGATTGTATTTGATCCCTTGCACTATATTCAAGCGCAGGAGTTTGAACCTGAAGAAGGGGACGTTATTCAGGTGATTCTACATTTCCTCAGTTCCGTCGGAATATAGCTAACACACAGGTGCACGATCACCCTATTTTTATAATTGAGAAATAAGAATATTTACCTCGTAAGTCAAACGAATAGTGGGCCCTTTGAAGGAAGAGCATAAATCGGTCTTTAACTTATCTCGCTAAGGTTTTTTTTTTGTTTTTTTTTTCTTTTTTTTAGTTGCCCAAAACGATACAGTGTAAGTATAAAAAATTCGAAAAAAATGAACTGCCTTTATTAAAGTGTAAACAATTAAAAACATGATTTTGCTACTTACGGCGTCCGTCTTCTAACACGAGGTGTCTGAGTGGCGCAAGAGCCGACAGATGGAGGTAGGAAAGACGAGGGCGAAGTCACTGACCTCCGATAGCAAACGATGCTTAATGAACCAAATGTGGCGTTTGCTTGTTTGGTCTAGTGTATAATATATTTCAAATATTCACTAACGAAACATGCTCAAGAAACACAAACCCAACAAAAAAGAATGTTTATTGGTATATTTCGGCTACAAATTATAAGCTGCCGCCAACTCTCGTGTGTTGCTTCACACAGAGGTCTTTTAATTGCAGATCGCCACCACGTATTAAAATGCACACTGTGAATTGTTTTATGGTTTACTCATAAAAGGTTTTTTTTAAATTTATATACAAAAAGTAGAATCTTCGACCGCCTTTTCAAATAATCATAACTGGATACGCCAAGAAATTGATTTATGCGGTATCCTCAAACAACCAAAGCTGGATGTCTACTCACTCTGTAGAAGCACACATTTACGAGGTAAAACTGTGCTCACAATTCGGTCGTTATCCTGTACATTTTTGCTGAAGTATAGAACAAAAGTGACACAAGCATGACGTAACTTGGGGTACGTCGCACGACCCTTCGAAAATACGGTGCAATAAATACAACACAACTCGCCGCGGTGAGATTTGGTCACCTCTCCGACACGTTGCACGATTCGTAGGACGCGAAGGAGCGCCACGCGTTTCTCGCTTAGAATAAGCACTTCTGCGCCCGCATAGTGGGAGGCAGAAGACATCAATATCCCTCTTTGATTAAAGATGCTCAAGATGAGTGATAATAAGGTGCTCAAAGACTACCACGCCCTTCCTTTATTAACATGTTAGTCACTATAGTGAAGTATTATTGTACCAACAAATTTTTGCGATAATTACGTACATTAAAGTCACCGACCACTTAAGAAAAACACGGCGGGGGGCGAGTCTAGCTGCACATCTTATTATCATTTCGCATCCAATGGCATTTCGGCATTAGCCGATATGAACGTTCAAGGGTCAATCGCGGAGCAAGAAGCGTAAAGATGATAAGCCACGCCCAGGGCTTCACAAGTTTTCAGAGACTAATAAGATGTAACACATCATTACAAAAATGCAGGTGTCGTACCCCAGAACAGGCACTCATTTGGTTCAGCAAATGATCCAGCTCATTGTGAACAGAGGTCAGTCGGCGCGGACACTGGCCGAGTTCACGCAAAGATCCCCATTCCTGGAGATACATGGACCCCGAGAGACATCAGACGCTCCTAGACTCCTACGGACGCACCTGCCGATGAACAGACTGCGGCTCAGCGGAAAGGCGAAATACGTTTATGTTGCCAGAAACCCCTGGGATTGCTGCGTGTCCAACTTCCACATGATGCAGGATCTTCCGGCGTTCCGTTTCGCCGACGGAAGTTTCGAAGACTTCCTAAACGCGTTTCTCGATGGACAGTCCGGCTTCGGGGACTATTTCAACCACGTCATCTCGGGTCACGGCCGCAGACAAGATGCGAATGTGTTTTTCGTGACATACGAAGAGATTGTCAAGGACAGGGCTAGCGTTGTTCTGAAGTTGGCAGACTTCTTGGGCAAAGGTTACGGCGAAGCTTTGCGGAGTAACGGCAGATTTATGGAGCTCATTGTGGAGAGAAGCGGTGTCGACTTTATGAGGGATGTATTTGAGTGCACCTTGGGTGAGTTTTCCCAAGTATTCGGGCGCGGGTTAGTTCCGGAGGATTTCGTAGCCGAGAGGATTAACGCTACAAAAAAGGGGAGATACAACCTTGTCCGAAAAGGAGCAGTAGGTGACTGGAGATCGTACTTCTCGCAAGAAAATATGCTAAAAATGCAGATGAAGTTTGACGATACATTTAAGGGTACTGACATTATGAGTCTTTGGATGCGTGAGGGAATTTGTGATTCCCTTTAATTCTTATCTCGTTTCCTGAGTCTCTGGTTGCTCTTTATCACTGTATCTTGCTAACAACGTAAAAAAAAGACTTACGACTAGAGGTGTTGACTTTTTGTTTAATTGTCGGTCGCGTCATTATAATGTTTTTGGGCTTCTGTTTGAAACTTAGAACTGATTTTCGCTGTAGTGATCAGACAACCTAGAAAATACCAGATGTTTCTATCAATTGTTCTATAACGACATTGATGAATCCAATAAAATATTCCTCCTATCAACTCGTGTTAGTCTTTGGTTTCTTGTAGATATCGATGCTCATGAAACATTCAAATATCTGCCCCTGTAGTCACTAATAATTTAAAGGGCAACTCCGTTCCGAAGTCGAACAAAATTAAATGACTGATATCAATTTACGGAGACTGAATACGAGCGCTGCCGAAATTTTAAACTAATGGAAAACAGCCGATCCACTCTAAAACTTTAATTAATAAAAAAATTAACACATCTCCACGTGGTGAATGACGTTGATTGGGGCGAAGCTCGGGTGGTGCTCATGATACTGATTTTATTGCTCGTAGGTAGTGCGAATTTTCGTTGATTTTTTTTATTCGTCATAGGTAGTGCTGAGTTCCGGGTTGCGTTTCGACTTCATTATTACTGCTTTATGGTCGGTGAAATGCGCAGCCATTGGTTTTTCTAGCGGGTCAGCTTAGATCCTCTAGAAGCCGCTGGAACGCATCTCCACCGCTTAAGTCAACGGTCCATGTAAGAAAGAGAATGTGTGGTATGGAACGTGGTTATATACGCATTTGAGCATTTGACCGCAGCGCCCTCGTCTATAAACGTCGAGCCAATGCATGCGAAGTTTAACGCGATTATATACGCATTTGACCGCAGCGCCCTCTCCTGTATGTACGTTAATCGGCTACATGCAACGTTTCATTCATGACAGAAACCCCAGCTCTTGAGTTACTACCACATCTCAGAGCCCCCTACTCGTCCCGCAGTCGTGGCCGAGTGGTTAAGGCGATGGACTAGAAATCCCCGCACAGGTTCGAATCCTTTCGACGGCGCAAACATTTTTTCTTTTTATGTGAGCACGGACGCCAGACGGACGGACGGACGGACGGACGGACAGACAAGGCTAGACCCTAAGGAGCTTCGCCCCTAATACTACCACCAGCTTCTCACCGGAATTTTAGCTGGTTGGTTGTTTGTAGAGCAACATTGTGCCCTCATGACATCTTAATTTTCAAGGAGGCTTTTGTTCGTAACAAAATATCTTTCGCCGTGTTTTTTTTGTTTTGTTTTTCTAATGAATCGTTTTTAGGCTAGACTCTAAGACATTCCTGCGCGTCTACATACCCGCAAAACACTCGAAAAGCCAATCTCTGCGATCTACGAAATCAGCTCAGCGAATGATGAGGCGGAACATCTGTTTAGATCTTAAATTTAAATCTGCGCTGTAGCATTACGCCATGCAAGCTTGACACTTTGCATTGCGCAATGCGACAGCGCAGACTTCATTTTTAGGTCTAAACGGATGTTCCGCCTCATCATTCGCAGAGCTGATTTCCTAGATCACAGAGATTGCCTTTTCGAATGTTTTGCGGGTAAGTAGACGTGCAGGCATATTTTAGAGTGTAGGTTTTTAGATTAAGGGTAGTCAGAAAAATTTTTAAGGCGTACTGAACCGAAAATTTAGATGTTACTAAATAAGGCCGCAGAAGCGTTGAACGGGAGGCTACGAACTCCAAAACATCACTTACACAGCGATATCTTAAACGGATCGCCGTACATTTTGAAAAGGAAGGGCGCGATCAAGAGAGGTCTACGACGTCATTCCCCTCTGCGAGAATCTGAGAATGAGGGGAAGCGGCCTCGCTTCTCTCCTCCTCGCTTCAGTTCACCAGTTCGACGGGACGTAGCCAGGAGGAGAACGAACAGGATTGGTGACGTACCCTGTCTCGTCAGCCTAGTCGGCTGTGTTCGATTGCGCACTTTTTTTACAAAAATACGGCGAACTGTTAGAGATATCCCTGTATATGTGATGTTTCTTGGGTTTTGCAGCGTCCCGCCTATCCGTCCAGCCTTGTTTTGTGAGCTCAAAATTTCGGTTCAGTATCCCTTTAACCGCGAATTTCCCAGCTGAGTTTAACGGGGAAACTGACATCACATAACTTGATGTCAGGTGACTTACACATTTTTTAGTTTTTCCTCGAAATTTAGCGGAAAAATTGACAATAATCTGCCGAAAATATTTCCGCTAAATTTAGCGGGAAATGACGTCGCGTGGATTGATGTCACGTGACCTACATAAAAATCCAGTTTTCCCGCTAAATTGAGGTGGGGGAAATTAACACGTGACCGGCCAAGGCCCGTCATTCCGCATACTCTGTAGACCCAGGCCAACCGGTCGGGGAGTGCCAATGGGGTGAAGAGTAGTGGGCGGAGTCACTGGGGAGGGGTCAATGCGGTGGATAGGAGTGGAGAGTCCTGGAGGAAGCTGTGGCGGGAGGGGGGGGGGGGGGGGCGGGGGGAGGGGGGAGGGAGCTCGAGAAGACTTGCCTCGAAGATACTATACTCCGTTTCACGAAAATTTAGCCAACTGTGGAGGCTACAACCCCCGCTAGCCAATAAGAGCGTCGGAGTGAGGCACGTGACACCATGCCTCGAATACGTGTGTGTCAATGCGCCAAAAAAAAAAGAATACTATACATCTGGTTTATTGAGCAAGCGGATGTGGGCACTAGGAAGACCTGGGACAGAGTTAATGATCCAATTGGCTTTGCTCAAATACGCATGTACTTCCTGACTTCATAGAACAGGAGACGGTAGATTTTTTAATGACTGTTTTGCTAACACAGGGCCTCTCCTAGCAGCTGAACTGCTGCAGGTTTTTCATCGGCCCCCCCAGCCACTGAAACGTGTCACAAATGGCCTCGTCATGCAGGAAATTAAAATGGCTGAAATTAGAGCAACAGTTAGCAGCCTTCGAGTAGGGAAAAGCGGCTGGACTCTACTCAGTTCCTGGTTTAGGCACTCATCTCCTATACTTGTTGAATAACTTGTTAGAGAGCGCGAAATGTCCATTTGGACATCAGATAGCTTAAGTGGTGTTCGTGTTTAAAGATGGCGATCCTTCCGAACCATCATGTTATATACGGATATAAGTTTTAAGTACAATTAACACCATATTTGAAAGCATGCTTTGTAGGCATTTAAAAGAATTCATAAGTGACTATAAATATTTTTTGTTCTTATCAACACGGTTTTAAGCATTACAGATCAAGCTCTTCTGCCATTCCTGTTTTAACCCAATTCCTAATCAGGATCTTCATGGCAGTATGAGTGCTGTGGTTCTGATTTTAGATATGAAGAAGACTTTTGACACAGTTAATCACAACACCCTACTGAACAAGTTATGTAATTATGGCTTTCGTGACACACTGTCCGAACAGTTCGAGGGTTATCCTTCTGATAGACGAGTATAGGTGATAATTCATGCGTTCATTTATAGCCCATGAACTGCGTTAACTTGGATGCCAGATGGCCCGGTTGTTGAGCTAATCTTTGTTTCTCTTTACGCCAATGGCCTTCCGTGGTTCTTAAAATACTCAGACCCATTAAAGAACATCGATGATACAGCACTGTTTTTTTCTGGGAGATTCGGTAGCTGAACTGCAATGTAGGATAAACAAGAAGCTTTACAGAGTCCTAACGTGAATCACAAGTAATTAACTTACCCTTAACATAAAAACAAAAACAAAAAAGCTAAGTACAGAGCGTTTCCCTCAAGGGAAAAGGAAATGAGCTACGACGAGTATTTTTTTAAAATCCGTTTTGGGTCTCTTGGCTCGTTGGCGAAAGCGCCAAAAACTTCCCGACTTGCGGTCGCTATGGGTCTCGTGTGCCGGCTTCCCAACACTAGCGTCAAATTGCATCCGCCGGCTCCTTCGGTGTTTTAGTTTCAATACGTGCAGTACATCCTATAGACGGCAGGCGCCTACGTAACACATTTCTATGTTTATAGTTTGCCACACTGCCTTGGCGTCAATAGGAGCAGGTTTAAAACACGAAACACATCTACGACGACACCGTCCGATCCGGCGATACGACGATCGGACGCGGCTTCTTTGGTCGTGTCGCCACGTCGGAACGGCGTTGCGGCGTGCGACCGACTGTCCAGAGGTGGTTGCGGTGGTCGGATGGCCGCAGCCAATGACGACGCAGGTAGCGGCAACTTCACGAAGACGTCACGTTTCGGGGTGCGGGCTATTTAGGAGCAAGGATCCGGTTCCCAGTCCCTCTTCCGACGTTACTTATCTTGGCATTTCCGGGGAGAAGAGGAGAGCTTACGCAAAGCTTTATTCAGCGCTCAAAATGAAAGAGGGAACGCGTGCCTGTACCTTCCACTGCGTTGCCGAGAAAAGTTGTCGCGGAGTTTACCGATCGCAGGAAGTCAGAAAAAACGCACTGGGTCACGGAACTGGGCGGAGCCTATCGCAACCGTCGGAACGACGCGTGACAAGCTCGGTCGGAAGCATGTGTCTCGAATAATCGTTTACGGCAAGTTAGAGCAGCTATCGGACGTCGGATCGGACGTCGGATCGCACGTCGGTTCAGACGTCAGTTCGAACGTCGGATCGCACGTCGGTTCGGACGTCAGTTCAGACGTCGGATCGGAGGCTTTCATCGTACATGTGTTTCGCGCTTGAGAGAGACACCCCCCCTCCCCCCAGAGGTAATCGACTGCAACATTCACCTTGTTACACATTTTTTAAAACAATATTATGAAACATGTTGTTCTTGATATGAATTTACTGGTATTGCAGCATTCACTGATTAAAGTTACAAGAAAATCCGGAATGTTTATTTTCACAGCGGAACTGTTAAGGGCTAGTGTCTCCAGCGTCGTGTCGGTGGACAAATGAATCTCGACACAACCAGACAATCGGCTTACCAATTTTCTGGTTGTCTGGTTGCCGCCGTCGCTAATAGATGGCGGCACATATACAGCTCCGCTGCTCTTCCTACTTCATTAGTGTGGAAAGGCTGACAGTATTTTTTTTAATTAAAGCACAAAACTGATGAACTTTTTTTTCCTTTTTCAATTTTTTGGAGGAAATCCCGGGCGAGAACGTTTTTGACACCTTTTGTGTGTGGTCCCCTTTTTTGTCGCCCGTCGTCTCCGGTTTTTCGGAAATGTGTAGAATAAATTTATTCATTCTAGTAGTAAAGCCTGCGTCAGTTACAGCATAAAAAATATGATAAACTA